TTGTTTATAATTTTTGTTTTTAATTGGATTTTCCTTGTTTCTTAATTTTTTTTTTTGGATTTTCCTTGGTTACCTCATTTTATAAATAATTGTGGGGTATATCAAGAAATTTAAAATAATAAATATAACTATTTGTATATCTATATTTTTGCAGTATATTCTGAATAATTAAGTAATTGTCTTTGAGGTAGAACAATTTCAAAATAATAATCTAGAATAATGTCATGTTTGTTTTTTGATCTGGATGCTGCATCTAGGTCAACATCTAGATGCATTTTCTAGATACAACATTTAGGTATTGTTCGTTTATGAATTTGGATGCAAAATGTTACCAAATTACTAAAAAGTTATGTTTTTACACTAAAATTAAAGATATAATCGAATCTAGGGGGTCTAAGAGGTTATTGGTAGTATGATTTGTATAGATTTCTAAAATTTCTAAAATTTGTGGATTTTATTAATTTTAGTGGAATTTCACAAATTTCAAAAGATTCTTATCAAATATTTTGTATGGATATTTATGAATTGTCATTGATTAATATTTATTTTGTCTTTTTTTTTTCTCTCCCAAATTCTCTTTATAAGGTAATGTTATATCTGCTATAATAGAGAATTTCCAAAAAGGTAAAAACTACGTGAGCATATATATCAACCATTGCTTTCCCATCATCTTCTCCCTCGGCTATCGTAGATAACTCTTTGTTTCTTTAACGTGAGCATGTATATTTGTGAGCATATATGTTTGTTTTAATTGATATGAGCATATATGTTTGATTAACGTGAGCATATATGTTTGTTCTATTGGTTGGTTTGATTAATATTGTTCTTATTGTTTATGTGTGACATTAGTTATAGCTTAAAGATCATGATAATAACAATATCTTTTTTGCAGGTGTTATAACATGGAAAATATCTTTGAAGAAGAAGCAAAATAGAAGATATAGCAAGAGTACGTATACGTTCAATTCAAACTAACCGTACCAAGAATGAATCATCTCTTGTCTCTCATCAATGCGTGGTCTCGTAATTCTGTCGAGTATACTCATGGTACTATCCAAAATCTTTTCCTAACATGGATGGAGATATTCATCCACTGACTAAGGATGATAATGGAAATGACAGGTCTAGAGATGATCATGGAAATGGGAGTGGAGGTGGTGGGAATCTTGGGGGGAAATGGGGGTGGAGGTGGTGGCAATCTCCCTTCCAATGGTGTAGTCAATGGCAATCTCCCTTCCAATGGTGCACTCAATGGCGATCTCCCTTCCAATGGTGTAATCATGGCGATCCTCCTCCGGAAGTTTATGATAAATACAAGTTTGAGAATGATGATGATGAAGATTGTGGAAACTGAATTCCGCACTGAGTATTTGTATGTGAATTCGGAGAAGAAACTTTAGTCATAAGAAATATCTATAAGCTCAACGATTAAAAGAAGAGTAGAGTGGAGCAGGATTTATATTGATACGAATCAAATATACAATAAAATCTCGTTTGAGACGTATTACAAGCTGAAATGTAGTGTTTAGCTCTCGTCTGTGTGAAAAGTTGGCAAAATTTGCTCGGACTTCATCTATTTATAGCTTCATTCAGCTCCTTGTTCCAGCTCCATGTGCCTAGGGCGGTTCCGCGTATCTCGGGCACGATCTTGGCATATTCCCCGCAAATTTCGTTTTTACGACAGAGATAACCGCTCTATTGACTTGCTCCTAGCTCATCCTCAGCTCGTTATTTATGCACCTGTTGACTCGACCTTTTCGGNGCTGACTTGGGTCCTAAGACAAACAACATCTACCTCTTCGGGTTTGGGCCGCATGCCCATCGATTCTGGTCAACATATCGCGAACACAAGTTTTGACCTGGGCTTTTATGTGGGCCGGATTCGGTGACGAATCCAGCCCCAACAGTTTCCCCCCAGTCCATTAAGTATTTAAGTAATAATACTTGATGGGCGACGATTCAATGTTATCTTTTTGAATATCTAGCGTATATATCGCGAGCGATTATATGCTACGATCTCGTTAAACAGCCCGGATATTAGATCAACGGACGAGATTTGATCGGTGAGAGTAAAAGGGGGGAGGTGAAAGATCTCCGCCGTTTCAACGGCTGGATCTGCTAGGCCATATAAAACTACCTCTTACACGTCTTCCTAACTCCATCTGCTTAGACTCGAATTCCAAGGTAAGAAAAGAAACTCTCCTCCCCTTTACTCTCGAATTTTCATTGTTTAACTTGATCTTCCTCTACAAGGACCTCAGTTTTTACTATTTGAACTCAGATATGACTTTATTCGTTAGCCAGACACTTTGAGCTTTCTTTTGATTGTGGTAGTTTGTCGATTCCTCTCAATCTTTGCTTTTCACCCCCATTCTGTCTCTTTACTGTTTTAATGAGCTCCGGCGGAACCCGTTCTGGATCAGCACGCCACCTCCGGTCGTCTGTATCCTCCCAAGATCTGTCCAATCTTTGGGAGGAACTGGGATTCCCGGATGAGATCGAGTTATCGCCGGCTAAAGTCGGCGATACACCAGAAACAGTCAGGCCTGGGTGGTGTTGCGCGCACTTGAGCTATTTGTCCACATGCGGGCTCACGTTCCCGATTCTCCTCTTTCTTATTCGCATTCTAGGCGATTTAGGGCTCACCTTCCCTCAAATTAACCCTAATTTCCTTCGCCACGCGATTGGCTCCTTCGTTTGGTGCTATGAGACTGGCTGGGCATGTATATCTCTGATTTCCTTAACTTGTATACGGCCAAAACGAATTCGAGGTAACCTGGCCGCTTTTATTTGTCGAATCGGGCTGGGAGGTAATTACTGGGACAGCCCATATCAAGGATACGGAGTGGCAGAAAGAATATTTTTTCTTCAAAATATCTCCTGCCTCTGTTTCTTCCGTTGATGAGTTCAATTCTCTCCCAATTCGTTTTGCTAACTCTTTTGGTTAGGTTCCTTTGTCTGCGCTCCAACTGCGATGCTCGAATTTCATCTTTCTCTAACCTCTCTTTTTTTGTTTCAACAAATTATCTGAAGGAGAACGAATTGATCGAAGCGCTCTTGTCGTGGATAACTTAGCTGCGCGGCGGACCTGTTCATTAGAGCTCGTTCGCGTTGGAGAGAATCAGAGCTGCATACGTTTCTTCGGAACAACTGCCGAGCATTCTTAGGACGCTTGGACTTTAACTATTGTTCGGCTCCCTTTTCTCTCCTATTTTGTTCAAGCGTCTCTCGGCTTCCTATTCCTGACGCTTCGTCATCTTCCAGCCCTCAACCAGCCTTAACTATGTCTCGCCGTGCCACCTTTCGTCGCCGTAATGTGGTCCCGGCTCTGTCCAGCAATCTGGCTCGGAGTGGGGATGTTGTCGTGGTTGTTCAGTCGACCCTTGAGGCTTCCGCTGAGGCAGCTCCCCCAACAGCCCCTACCGTGGGTGCTGCGGCCATCCCAGCTCCTCCTCCTGTGACCCTGCAAGACGCGGAGGAGCCGACACCCGTTCTGCCTCCAGTAGGAGCTCGATCCAATTCCCACGGATCATTTGACAGCTCCCATCGGTCGAAAAGGGCCAGATCCCAATCTCCTCGAGTTGATCAGTCCACTTTGGTCGGAACAGGGCCGCAGGCTGTCCCATGCCAAGGACTTCCCGGTTACAGGCGACCTGGAGGGCCTGGCCCACTTGTTCCGCCACTGCAAGCCCGCCCGGTGCCCCTGCCACCAGTCAAGTATCTGCTCCTCCGCGACCGGTATGTCGCCATGACCTCGGCATTCAGGAAGATTAGACTCGGGGTCCCTGATCTAGATATTTGGATCGACTTGCTTTAACCTGTTCTTTCATTCCCATTTATTTGCTTTTCTCAGGCGGTGGAGTCGGCCAACCAGCTGGCAGCCGACGCTGAGATCCACCTCCACGACATCCCCCGGAAGGAGGAGGTTGAGGACATGAAGAAGGTTCTGGAGAACATGGCTTCCGACTTGAATGCATCGAGGACTGAGGCAACTGAGCTGAAGGCAAGGGTTGCGCTCTTCTCGGATCAGGCTGATCAAGTCGCCACGCTCTAGGGGCTGTGGCAAACCTGGAGAGTCAGCTTGGTCAGGCCAATGAAAAGGCTGCTTTCCTTCTTGAGGAAAGTGGCAGCGCGATTCAGCAGTCGAAAGACTTGTCCTAGCTGAACCGAGGGCTGGAGATTGAGTTGAGCGCCTTGAAGGCTACTCGTGACGCGGAGGTGAAGGCAGCCCACCGTGGTGGCCACCGAGACCTGGCCGGTGAGTTCAATGTCATTGTCCAACTTATAAGCGACAAGTTTAAGAGGAAGTAGGGCGAGATCACTGCCGAGATTCACCTTCAGAAACTTCATGCGAACATCCAGCTGCTGGAAGTGCTAACCAAGCGGTCGACTACCGTTGAGGAGGAACAAGAGAAGCAGAAGGCCTCAGCAGCCGCTGTTTGAGAAGACGTTCGAATCTTCTAAGGTGTCCGACTTCTCGGTCAGCAAGCTGCCGCTCCCTCATATCTCGGACAATTCCGTCACCACAACTATGGAGGTTGATCAGGCTGTGCTCGATGGGGAAGGCTCCGGTGAACAGGGGGAACCTGCTCAAGATGACCCCCGACAACCTTGGCGCCATGGGTGAAGCTTGATCCCTTCCTCTCTCTAATAATAAGGAGAATGCCCTTTTTTTGGTTGTTTCAAACTTATTTTGTTTCGGTTTAGCTAGTTGCCTGTGGGGGCTTTAAACTTTGTTTCTGCCATTCTTCGGGCTTTTGAACACTTAACTTTTATGTTGCTCGGCCTGTTGGGTCTTTTGAATGACATTTCTATTTTCGCTTTTTAAGTTAGGCATTTCAAAACCTTTCCGTCTTGCAACCCTGCTTGGGCTACCTTGTACAGATCAGCCGGGCTGGCCTGTTTAGCTCAGCTTATTTTCTAGCAAGGTGAGGGCCAAAGTGGCGTTCTCGCCATGACTTTAGCTCTTTCCAGCCTTGAATGTCTTTATTGCAATTATTTCTTCTCATACTTGTTTCGGTCCATCTCGTTTCTAAGCTGGGTTTCTTTGAGTGCTTTGAACTAAGTGACAATTCAGAGTCTAATCTTTCGTTGGCATGTATGATCACGGGAGGTGACTTTTAGCGTTTGTTAGCTGCTCCTTGTGGCGATGTTACTAATGTTGGTCGGCCGATGTTTATCGTAACGAAGATGGGCTTGGTGTTCAAGTCCGTGTTTTTGTGTGATCGAATTGAGATCGACTTCGCTTGTAAGGATGGGTTTATGCCTAGGGATGTCTTAGTTAGAGACCAGTTAGGTCTCCGCAAGTTCAAAGTTTAACCGAACTGACCGTGTGATATGGATCTTTGGCTTATTTGGGCTCTCTGCCTTTTAATATTTCAAAGATGTAAGTAGCGTACTATTCTTCTCCATTCGGTTGAGCTCGGCGTCTCTTCCGAGGTGGATAAGATGGAGAGATTTGTTGGGT